TTGCATTTAAAATGGTGCTTAAGTTAAAGTACAGAAGTATCATCAGCCAAATGTACTTAATTCAATAATAATTCCTGTCAAATAACTTAAACTATAACATACACAACACAACAAACTATAAATAACATAAAGTTTATCAGTTAAATATAGTCCACCTGCAGCAATGATATCCGGATACATATATGAGTATACGTGCAAGACAACAAGCTTTAACCTGACATGTTGGCTCCGGCCATGATCCCAGTGCAGCTGGTGAACATGACGGCAAACACAGTGGCAAAAGACATGACAGAGTTGGTGCTGTAGTCCAAAGTGTAACCAGCTGCAACGATAAAAATGAGGAACAAAAGCGGGACCATTAAAAGATACTATAAATTTAGAACCGTCGTGTAGCTTTGCTTGTGAAATGTACTTTCATATCCTCACAAACATAAACCTCATGCCCCCCCCAAACACTCACAGCCCAGGTTGTTCCTCAGAGTTGTGGCATTGAAACCCGTGTAGCTGGCGTTGTAGTGGACGGTCTGGTTGCCAGGTCCGTGGTGGGTGATGAAAATATCCTGTGGTTTGACCGCCACAGAACTGATGAAGATGGACAGCAAGGATACAGTGACCACCAGCAGGATGACGAAGGCGGTGCGGGAGTAGATGTGGGCGCCCACAAGACACACAAGCAGACACAGCAGAAGGACTACTGAGGAGTACAGCACGGTGTACCAGTAACCCTGAGGAAGCACCCGCACCCCGCTGGACACAGGTGACTCTATAACAGAGGAGAACAGGCAGAACGAACCAAGTGGGATGGTTTAGTTAGGTTGAAAAATAGATAAGAGAAACAGAACATAACCAGAAACTTACCCGGATCCGACCCGAATACGTCAAGTATCGCCTCCACAAGACCAAGAACGTACTCTCCACATGCACAAACTTTGGCCAGGAAGAACATCAAACCAATGCTTCCTCCAAACTCTGGGCCCAGAGACCGACTTATCATGTCTGATCACATTTTGTTAAGGTTGATGTTTCAACTTCAATAAAAGAAACTGTAGACAAGCAACACTCAAGAAGAACAACATGTGTTTGGTCTCTAAGGATACAGTAGGCTCCCCCACCTTGTATAGCACCGTTGGTGGAAATGGCACAGATGGAGAGTATAGTAAGAGATATGATGGTGTAGGCTACAATCAGCATTAACAGACCCTGTAAGAGACCCGCGTGACCAACCACAAACCCTGCAAGAGAAATCACATCAGTATTAGTCACTACTGCACAGCACAATGACTCAGTTATACTGTAAGTTATTCATACAAACATCCACTGTCTGCAACCCTAAACAGCTTTCCATTTACTAATCTCTTCACATGCATCGCTCACCGGTTCTCAGGAACAGCACGATGCTGAACATGGAGAGGATGGTCGGCACCATCACCCCAAAAAAGGTGTTCAGTTTTCGAGGGTCTTTGCTCGGAGTCCCAGAGCCGGATTCGGGGGTGGCATCCGACTCCGCGCCACACGCAGTCACCGCCAGACCGCATACCCCTGAGGTGATCAGAGGGGTGCGTTCGTTTGACATGGTTGGTGAGAAGGGCCCGTCTGCTTGTCCTCTGAAAAAGAAATCAGTAAGGACAGGTTTCAGACCGACCCACAGGCCACTCTCTTATCTCTTCATTCGTCTCTTACGCACAGTTCTCATTTTTCACCCTGCACACGGTCCACGTTTATCAAAGTCTTTGTGCCCAATATGTGCGTTCTTGTTAAACATTTACCTAACTCCTAACCCTAACCCTTGTTTTAGGGGAAACGTAAGACAATTAAACTTGCTGATATAGTGTCAGTTTTATTTCATAATGTATACAGCAACAGTATTTGTTCTCTTTTTCAAATCAAATGTATGAACAAGCCACAGATAGGCAGGCCTTTGCTTCCCACACCCATGCACACTCACTGATGTTTTTACCCTCTCCAGCGCTTCCTAAAAATGAACATCATCATGTGCACAGTACCTTGTGACTGCTTCCAGCATCTTATAAACAAACAGTGTATTTTAAAGAGTAAGATTCAGTTCACCAGCTACACAGGTGCCACACAGTCACCTGATGCCACAAAGTAGGCCGACACATTGGACCCCCTCTCTTACTTTTCTCCACGGTTGGTCATTTCTCTTCTTTTTTTTACTGCACAACACAGCAGAGACCAAGCGAAAGGCCACTAGAGACAAGCTGTGTCTGAAGTTTGCGACTCACTCTTCTACTCACACCTCGGGTTGGTATTTGCAGTCAGCTGATTCACAGCAGCTTGTCTGGTTTTACAGGCAACTCAAACCAAAGAGCAGACACACAGCTCAGCTGAGCATGCCCCTCTGTGCACAGATGACCTTGGTTGTTTTCTGCCTCTCAGATGCCAGCGTTCACCTTTGCCATTCTTTCTCCATGAGGCCGTTTTCAAGCTGTTGCCAAAATTGCCTCAACATACCCCCTTTCTGCGAGATCTATCATCGATCACATGTCAGGAAACCTTACCTTGGACAAAAGTTTTGCACAGGGTCATAAGCAACAACAATTAGGTGATTAATAAAATTCAAAAGCATCATCTATAATTTCTCTTTAAAAAAAAGAAGCCAAAAACTCACTGGTTCCAGCTTCTCAGATGTGAGAGTTTGCCGGTATCGACTGTTGGCCAGACCAGCCATTTGAAGCTGGCCTCTGGAAACTTACAATGGACATGATTAATTGACTGATGATGATTCAGAGAAAAACCAGCCGCATTAATCGCTGGTGCAGCCCAATGGGACGGATTTAAGCATGTTCCCTGTGCAATACCTATATAGCAGTGGGCTGGTTGTTTTCAATACAGTTACACAACATTAAGTATTGAGTAAAATACAGTAGATGAGACATCCTCTCAACCCCATCATGGTGAGATCACTCTGGTTTTAAACAGGAGGAAGGAAGTTGAACCTTCAGTGCGAACTGAGGACATGCACGTTTAGTTCCTCTATTGTAATTGATGCTGCAAGTGGACAATGAGGCAGTTACCCGTGCGGTCACGGCCTGCAGGATGCTGATAGTGATGCACTGAAACCGTCGGAACCTCTCCTAAAAGAAAAGGCCCTCATGGGGTCCGCGGACCCTACTTTAGAAACAAGTCGGTTACCAAAATAAATCACCGCTTCCGTCACGTATGCGTAGCATCAGGGTGGAGCAAATGCGGCATTAAAACTTTACGTCTTTCGAGTGTCAATAGAAGGTAAACGAGTGGAAAAATGATACGCCACATTTGCAGCTGCATCTCGGGTAAATGTCTGTTTGCGTTTTGAGAGTGTCAGTCAGGAAGTGGCCGCGCCGGCGATGATAAAACAAACGCACCCCATCTAAAGTGCTCCTGCACGGTGTCATTCAAACAGCAACATCCAGGCTGATCAGGGCTACATCGTACTGTACATGGGCCGCATGCACCCTGAGGTGTTCCCCCACAATCCCCTCTGAGAACAACAGTCAAGACTTACCCCGCTCGACCTCCCCAGACAGTTCCACCCACTTCCTGCTTGAACCCCCTTTCTGGTTGTGGTCCTCTTGAGTCCGGCTGTCTCTGCGTTGTCTCCGCGGTGTGTCTCTGCTGGAAGATGTCCCGGGTCAGATGCGCAGTGGACGGCGGACAGGGGCTGAGCTGTCCCGAGAGTTGGATGCTGCTGTGAAAGATGTGCTGCCCAATAACAACACGGCAGCCATAGCACGCCTCGTTCCCCTATTATTTGTTCAAAAGTGTCACGGGAGAGCAGAATCCGCCCATGTGACTGCCAAAAGGGGGAGGGTAGAAATACCACAAACACGAGCAAAGGTAGTGCTTGTCTGAAATAACCACGCCCCTTATTTGCAGGCCAGTCAACCCTCAATAATGATCTCTAAATGAGTTCAAATAGGTGCACATGAAGTGGGGATTTCAGCTGTGTGCACTACGGAGAAAGTTTACTGTAGGCTGGACTGTAATGACATTTCTGCACACCAGGGGTCACTGTTGCGACACAGACGACCTCCATATATCTCATAATGTGGCAGGACTAACCTGAGATGTCAACTAAGGTTTCCATTTAAAAAGAAAATAAATAAATAGATGCATACGAATTGCACTCTATTGTCTGTCAGCCTGCGCCCATTCTGCTCCAGGAAAACAAACCAGAAAAAAATGAATTATTAATTAAAAATGAACCAGAGGGGTTGATATGAGGATTGTGATGTTAGAGAGAGATAAAGGAGGACAGCAGGGTCTTCTAAAATGTCAGTCAACGTCTTGTTGGACATGCAGTATGTCCTCTGGAAGTCCCCACTAGCTCCCATTGCTTCACAATGTCCTCAACAAATGGGTTCAAAGAGACAAAGATAAGATGTTCTCCGGCCACAAACGATCACCTATAGAGAAATACATATAGTCTACAGTATAATATGCCTCCTGTCTTATTTTTGTTCCATAATCCTTCCTGAGCTGTTAAATCACACCATCACTGACCAGGAAGCCACCTTTCCCCTAAAGTTCAACGAGTAAAAAAAAACAACTGCATTCAAAAGATTTATTAGTATTTGCAAACATTTTTCATTTCAAAGGGTTAACAGCTGCTACTGCATCTTGTTTCCACATCACATCATCAATGTTACAGATAATGTCAGAGTTTTCCCTCTCAGCAGATGAATGTGAAAACAGCTTTCTAGTGTTAAACTCACACAACATCTTCTAAATGTCCCCCATTCACACTGGAGAGTTGGACCATGTATCTCTAAAATACAGTTTCCACTCACTTTCCTCATCGTGCTGCGCCTTAATAACAACCCTGACCTGAGTGTCTCCATCTGAAGAGATAAATATGATTTCCAACCTGCCAGTGGTCTGATCGGAGGAGGAAGGGCGGGGGTCATAGGATTTATTAGTATTTAAGAGATGGGTGTGGTTGAAACATGCTTCACGCCCGGATTTGAGGATCCTTTTGAAAAGCGCTCACCGCGTGATCTGGCAGCCTGTTTCTGAATGATGATATTCAGACAACAACAACATAAAAAAACAGGAACCGTGTGGATAACTGACCGAGAGGGCCACCTCTAAGGACGAACACTAACATCTGAGTGCATCTGCAGATGGCTTGATTTCTCGCAGCTTTTTATTTTACAATCTATTTCTTTTCCTCTGTATGAGGCACTTTGCAGACCCCCCCCCCTCAGTAATTCATAGCTGAGTCGGAGGCGGCTGTCCTGATGAAGTGTCGGCAGAGGGAGGAGGAAACCAGCAGAGAGAGGAAGGAAACGAGGATAACGTCACGAGAAGCAGAATCGGAGTAAAACGGAGTGAATAGTGTTTAATGGACAGTCCTTGATGCGGGCCGGGAGACCGAGCTGTGGCGAAGTGTGTTTGTTTACGTCGCACTGGACAAATATGTTTTTGTTGACTTGTTGGGCGTGAAAAAAAGGAAAGCGTTTTTCGGAGAGGAAGCAGAAGCAGCAGCAGCAGCAGCAGCAGCAAGATTTCATCTTTTTTCAGGAGGCTCCACTAACGCAGAGCAATGGAAATGTGTGTAGCCCTCCTCCTCCTCCGTTTGCCTGTTTGCTGAAGGATTTTTTGGAAGCAGCCTAATCGTGACACACGCAGCTTTAAGTGGATCTCTTCAGCGTCTCTGTGGTGGTTTTTTTTTCTCCCCCCTTTCTTTTTTAATGCGTGAAAAAGACACATAGCTCAATCCTCCGCGGGGATTTTGGAGACGTTGCTTTCAGTTTTGTGTTTTTTTTTTACGACAGCAGAAAAAAAAAAGAAAAAGGAAAGCAAAAACCATCGGCAGAATTAACAGGTAGCCGCCCATTATCAAACGCTGTGACAGCCGCTGCAGGCCGGCCTATTGAGCGTAAGATGGCTGGGTGATGATGTGCCTATTCATGGCATCATTTCGACTAAATTAATTTAGCTACATCCGCATTCTAGGAGCTCAGCATCTGAAACAAGATGTGGTCAAGGCCTTCATGAGCCGCTCTGCTGATCAATATGTGATGTAGCCTGCATTCGTCGGGGCCTGTCTTTCTTTGAATACACTAGGAAGGCTGTAAATGCTGCAGACAGTGATAGAAAAGCCTTATGAAGTACAGCCCGGAGCTCTGAATGTGACTCGGGAGCTGCTTTTTTCTTTACTGCGGCTTTTATTTCAGTGCGGAGCTCCCAGTCCAGGCCTGCATGTGTTAACCAGGGAGTGAGCAGAGCCACACTGCTTCTCTGACATTAACATTTACTCTGCCTTAACATACAGGGATTGTGTGATTGTGTGTGTGTGTTTGTGTGTAAGCTCTGCACTCTGCTCCAGTTGCAGATGTAGCCATGCCAGGTTGGTGTAGTTGCACATCAGATGTGCATTCAAAGGGGTGGGGCCAGTCACACTTTGCATCTTGTTCTTTGGATTTCAGTATTCTTGTGTTATAAAGCATGCTCTGGTAAACTCCCTTAAATGAGAGCTTGGTTTATTTTGCTTAACTGAACCCTCCTCGTCCTCATGAAGGAGGCACCCTCTTGTCTAGGCCACGCATCAGTGCAGGTGGAGTCTGTATGGTGTGTCCGTCTTTTTCACACTCTTGTCCCTGTCAGTTGGCATGACTTCAGCACAAATCTACACGTCCTGCAGTCGACGCTCGCAGGCCACAGAGACATGCATCCGAGCATCTGGCTGGACCCATCCAGGCCTGATCTCTGATGCATCAACCCCCCCCCTTCAGCATTTCTCCTCCTCATTGGCTAAATGAGCAGCTGTGCCAGGAGACTGAGACCCATGATGTACCCCTTTTGGCTTCCATTAGTGCCTCTGTGATCCATCTGGTCGCAGGTCCCTCCAGGGAACAGTGACCTACTGTAGCTAATTGCTCTTCCTCTGCAGCGTGCACTGTATGCATGTTTGCTGTGGAGCGTTACTGTGGATTTGAATTGCCTCACAAATGCAAATAAAAGCTCCCTGTTTGGGGAGCTGTTTGAATGTGTAACTGTGCTCCTATCAGGAACAGGAAATGCTGCTCTCCACTGAAAGCGCGATGTGAGTGTGTGTGTGTGTGTGTGTGACCCCAGCTGGCCCCAAAGGATACATCTTTTGCTAGTTTTGGATATATTTGCCTGTTATGTTAATTTTTAGGAACCACAGTGGCTCATGTGACAGGAGAAATCATAAAGATGACTGTGTCTAGCATTAGCACAAGTTCTGACTTAATACGCAACCTGTAGGTGCACAGTGTAACAAGTTCCCTCAGCTTTAAAGGGAGTGTTCGCTCGGTATCTGCTCCCTGGTAGTGATGCTGCTGGCTGCTCGATAGCAGCTTAGTCATTACAGATTATTCTCCTCAGTTAAACCAGGCATGGTTGCACAGCCATAAACAGATTACAAGGTTTTTTTCTCACTATGTGGGTTTAGCAAACCTTAGAGATTAAAATGTGTGTTATTGTTATTTTAATATTTTTTTCCAAATCTGGGACAAACAGTATTTTAAGCAAATTATTTTTTTTAATTGATTCATTTATGATGAAAGTGGATTCCTGGATTACTGGATTATGAAAGCGTGGAACTATGCTAATCCCAGTGGGCCTCACTAATATGCATCTGCAGTAATTTTTATTCATTTTGAGATAATACTTCATATTAATCAGTCTGATATTTGAACAGGTGACTGCTTGGACAAATCCAAAATGAGTGAGCTGGAGCAGCTTCGTCAGGAGGCAGAGCAGCTTAGGAACCAGATAAGAGTAAGTCAAATATTTTTTTATAATTCAGTTTTCATCCTTAGCATGATAATGCTGACATATTTACCTATTGCGTAATTGCTTTTTCTGTCCATCAGGATGCCAGGAAAGCATGTGGGGATTCAACCCTGACACAGGTAATTGTCACTGAATGTCCCCCAGTGGTAAGATACATAGCTATAATAGAAAGAAAGTTCCTTATGATCTTTTGCTGTGCATTACTTTAATAGAGTTATTTGTAAATGTATTTTTACAGAATTTGACATAAAACATTAGCAGTTCCTATGCTGTCTTTGCTGCCATATTGCCATCTCAAGAAACGTCCCTCTGAAACCTTCCATCACACACACTGAGACTGTAAAAAGGGTGAATTTCATTAGGACTAATTGAACTTTCATCAACCTCTCCCTACAAACCTAGATAACTGCTGGTCTGGATCCTGTGGGGAGGATTCAGATGAGGACGAGACGCACCCTCCGGGGCCACCTTGCTAAGATCTATGCCATGCACTGGGGTACGGACTCAAGGTGAGTCTATACTGTACCAAACGTTTTCACTGTACTGGAGCTGTGCATCACTAAAATGAACTATTACAGTCTCCCCATAAGTGGCTCAATAGAAAACAAACATTTTTAACTGGCTCCATACACTAGCAACTTTACATGGGATACATTACATAACATTTTCATATGGAGTGTATGTTGATGCTGTGTGAGGACCAAAGTAAAACAACCAAGATCGTACCATCCATTTAGGTAGCCTAAATTACCTACCTGTTTACATTGTCTGTGTTATTTTTAAATAAAAATGTTATTTTGATAATTAACATGACTTTTTATTGTTTGGAAATAGGCTATCCTCCAAACTAGGCATGGGACAATATGAAAATTTCATGTCATTATAGCTAAAAATAATTGCGATACACAATATTATCACAATAATCATGAAAATATACTTAATACTTTTAAAATGGCTCTAAAACATACTGGAATCACTTTACCTTACACTTTGTTAATCAACATTCATTCATTGCATCACAGTCAGGCACCTCATCTCCCTGTTCTTTATATATTTGTATCCATACATCTGGTTTGCATTTTTCTGTGTTGGATTTCTTTATGTATGGCAATTTCATTTTGTTGTTACTCAACCACTTTGGTCCTGAAACATCTTAACAACTATTGTATGGATTACCATGAACTTTGGAACAGATAATCATGGTTCCCACAAGATGAATCCTATGGACTCCCAGCTCCTCCTCTAGAGCCACCATGAGGCTAAACTGTAAATCTGGACAGATATTGGATGGATTGCCATGAAATTAAGTATAGACATTAATGCCCCCCTCTGGAAGAATCCTAGTCACTTTGGTGACCCCCTGACTTTTCATCATGTCAACATTTTAATTTGTCCAATACTTTGGTTTAAAAGGCTAAATACCTGCAAACTGCCAACAACCTCAGCTGTGTGTTTGGTGCTATTTAGAGCATGTTAGCATACTAACAAGCTAAACTAAGATGGTGAACAAGGTCAACTGCTAAATATCAGAATGTTAGCATTGTAGCATTTAGCTCAAAGCACCGCTGTGTACCTCAGTACAGTCACGCACAGCAGCCGACTTTTCTAGAGCTTGGAGCCAAAACATCCAAGAGTGCTTCCTTTAAAGCTGGAGTTTTAGGTTCCAAACCTCAGATTCAAATAGCACGAACGCTTTAGTGCCAGTTATATTCCACATGTCAAACGTTTTTAACGTTTTGCCTGTGTTACCGGTAGACCACCCACTGTAGAAGACTGGGGTGTTTGGGGGTAGATGGTATTGATTTATCAGAAAATGAATACAAACTAAAAGTCCATCGATAGATAAGGTGTGAAATGTTTGTCTCTGCAGGCTCCTGGTTAGTGCCTCTCAAGATGGAAAACTGATCGTCTGGGACAGCTACACTACTAACAAGGTAAAGTCAGCTAAATAATTCTTCTCCTCAGTTCACCAGCTGGATAAATAGTAACACTTGGCCTCCGTCCTAACTGGAAGTGAAAGTGGAATAAAGTCTTTCTCTTGTAGGAGTGTGGTTGACTCATAAGAGCTTCCTTTACAACTATGACTTATTGTAACATTTACAGTGGCATTACATTTTCAGTGTTAATACTAACACGCTTTTTTATGCTCTTATTAACAGTTTGTGTTTCCTTCTACTCCTTTAATGTTTCGTGCCTCCAAACACCTGTCCTGTCCTAGATCCACGCCATCCCCCTGCGCTCCTCCTGGGTGATGACCTGCGCGTACGCCCCTTCTGGGAACTACGTCGCCTGCGGAGGCCTCGACAATATCTGCTCCATCTACTGCTTGAAGACTCGCGAGGGCAACGTTAGGGTCAGCAGGGAACTACCTGGCCATACAGGTGAGAGAACAATCACACTCTCAACCACTTCTGTTTGACTCTTCCTGCGAGTCAAACGGATGACATTTTAGATGAGCGTGCACCAGTCCCAGGCCTCGTGGGAAAGCTCCGCTCCCAAACCACTAAACAATGACGATTTCATTTACATGGTTAATTAATCGCAGGGCAACACAGTCTTAATGAGACATCAACTCCTGCCTGTGAGACTCTGATTCGTGACACTGTAGCTACTGTGCTGCTGTACAGTATTAGATTTAACACTATTTCCATTTTGTGAAATGGCACAAAATGGATTCATTCATGGAACTTGAAGGTGTTTTTTTTTTTTTTTTTTTTACAGATAAATGACATTTAAAATCTGCTAGGGACAAAAAAACAATGATGATGTTCCAAATAAAATGTAGGTTTTCCTAAATGGGCTGCAACTTAATATCAAGGTGTCTTTTAATGCAAGACTGTAATTTTCTCACACACTCTTGCTCACTCTTATTGTTATAGCTGTTCAAATCCCGACAAGAGAAGCTCTGAGTTGATAGATTCAGCTTCAGTTATTATCATGTGTTCACATTAATAACCTCTATGAACAGCCGGGAGTGCTTGGTCGACTTTTTTCCCTGGGTTTAGCCTCTCGGGCTACATACAGACCACCCTTACTTTATTGTTGGATGTATGTTTATTGGGAATTGACCATTAATCTTTAAAGGACAGTGGTCTTTGTAGGAAAGATGTAAATAAAAAGTTATACATCATAAGTGATGATGATGAAGTTAATGTATAACTACAGTCATTTATATTTAGTAGCATTTCAAATTAGGTTTTATAATAAAACAGAAAGCACTAGATTAATATAAATGTATATAAATGCATGAAATGGCATTCACATATTATCTCTTTCCCTGCACCTCTGTTTGTACATTTAGTGTACTGTTACAATATTATTCCTATTTTATGCTTATTGTATTACAGCAGACACTAGTAATACCACTCTACTATCACCTACTCTAAAAAGACTTCTAAATGTGCATGTGTCTTCTTTTAATATGCAAGTTTCATCCAGCTCCACAACAGAAACTCAACAACTGTGCTTTCTTTTCTCTCAGGTTACCTGTCATGTTGCCGTTTCATTGATGACAATCAAATCATCACGAGTTCAGGAGACACCACATGGTGAGACCCAAACACAGACGTGCAAGTGCAAACATGTTTGTCCTGAGCTGATCAGTGTCTTAACTCTGCGCTCTCTGCCCCAGTGCACTGTGGGACATCGAGACGAGTCAGCAGACCACAGTTTTCTCGGGCCACAGCGGCGACGTCATGAGTCTGTCCCTGTCACCCGACCTCCGCACTTTTGTGTCAGGGGCCTGTGACGCCTCGGTCAAACTGTGGGACATCAGAGACAGCATGTGCCGGCAGACCTTCACAGGCCACGAGTCGGACATCAACGCCATCTGTGTGAGTGTGCTCAGGGCAACTACAAGTTGTCAAATATGTATCTTAATACAGTTTTATTAACAGGGATCACAGACAGTTTAAAGGGGTGCGCCATCAATTCTTTTGTATCTTTTTGTCATGCTGTCATTGCAATGCGACTAAGTGTAGAATTCAGTGTTTTTGTATTTGAAACAATACTAGAGATGAAAAGCGACGACATAGTGCAATACTACATTTAGTATTTGTGAGTAATTTAAAAAAAGATGTATGTTCACTCTTAGTGAACATACATCTTTTTTTGTGTCTCAGAGTGTCTTCTCTAGGTCTAAACCTAGAGACAAAATAAATATTTTGCTTAAATTTGCATTTCAAAAAATTTGCATACATTAAAGAAAATACTAAATATAACCAACTTTTATCAATGCTCTTTAAAGTTGTCATTGCTAACCAGTTAATGAACATCCAATTCAGCCACAACGCGGATACTAAAACATACTTTGCGTCAGAAAACAAATAAAAACAATATGAAGACATGGTAGGTAATCCCAATAATTAATCTGAATGTAAATTTAAACACAGAGAACAGAATAGAAAAGAAACTGTTGATTAAAATGTCTATTAACAGATACATCTATCTAATAACTGGCATTGGTATCAGCCCAAGTGGTCTAAAGTGGCGGCCTCTCCCCCTACTGTCTAATACATTATCAACAGAGCAGCTCCAGGATTTGTCCCGGTGACGTCACACACTGTCTTGTCTCCAGCTTTGGGAGGGATTTAAACTGGGAACACGCTAGAGGATTAACAAGATTATCAATTAACACCATATCTGAACATCCTGCATCAGTCCAGACTCTAACTGGAGTCTCATTTGGAGTCTGGACCGATGCATCACACAGGTTCTCTGATAGTGTGACAGGTGGGACGGAGTCAGTGTTAAAACATGGTGATCATCTTTCAGACTGATCAGATTCAGTCCAAAAGCAGAGACACCAATAGCCAATGAGGGCACAGTTTTCTTTTCCAGTGTCATCCACACTTCCTGCTTCTCATCCATCCTTCTGTGCTCCTCCTTAGTTCTTTCCCAACGGCAGCGCCTTCGCCACAGGCTCCGACGACGCCACCTGCAGGCTGTTTGACCTGCGTGCAGACCAGGAGCTCAGCCTCTACTGCCATGACAACATCATCTGTGGCATCACCTCCGTGGCTTTCTCACGCTCTGGCCGCTTGCTGCTGGCTGGTTACGATGACTTTAACTGCAACATCTGGGATGCCATGAAGGGAGACAGAGCAGGTGGGTGGAACCGGATACAGCTGGTGTGATGTAAAAAGGCTTAACCTAAAGCTGAAATGAGGATTGGATTCATTATGAAGCTACTTCATTGAGACATCAGAGGTCTTTTAATATGTTTTGTAGTTTCTGTTGCCTCCAACCTTAAGATAGTTAATGTGTGTACACTTCATTATCAACTAGAACCTCTATTTAAAGGTCATAGGATGTTTAGTTTGAATGCAAAATGACAGCAGCAGCCCTCACTAACATGGAAAAGTGCAATGTTGTATCACAGCAAAGTAAAACCGACTCTTATCTGACCTTCAGCTGCAATATTTCACTCAAGAACTGAGTGAAAGAGCATTTGGACCAAAAAAATAAGCAAAATTGATTGGAGTGAGAAATACCACTTAATTTAAATATGCAATTCAAAGGCTAATTTACCTCTTATAGGACTGCGCAGACTTCAGTATGCACAAAACAAAGTGCAGTTATATCATGTACTTTTCTAATTAATTTCTGGGCAATGTAGATAACTGTGATACCTGATAAGAAAATATCCCAAGCCCTTATCTTTGGATTTAGGACTGTGGAGCTGTAATACTGTGCAAGTGAATCAACCACTGTAAACCAAAGGGATTTAGGTGAAAATACATCGTTTTTTTTGTTTTATTTTTAACTGAAACAAAAATCTGACAATAACCATGACCAGAGTTGTAAGAAAAAGTCTCTCTCATGGTGTGAACATAAATTGTGGTTATATACTATTATATCATGATTTATTTTTTGGGGCAATAGAGCTTCACACCAGCTTTGTTCTGTAACAAATGAACATCTTTGGTCAAACGGCCCACCCTGTGTTGCAAGTGGAAGCGGTAATAAAATTAGGTCACTGTGTTCTGTGTGGTTTCTAAGAAGTTTTTTTCAGTCTTGAGAGCAGAACATTTGACAGCAACAAGTCTTCTTTTGTTTGTCCTCGTCCCTCCTGCAGGAGTCCTGGCCGGCCATGACAATCGTGTGAGCTGTCTTGGTGTGACGGATGACGGCATGGCGGTGTCCACTGGGTCCTGGGATAGCTTCCTTAAGATCTGGAACTGAGCCATGCGCACACACACACACACATACATACACACACAGACACACACACCCAACACACACACACACACACACACACACACTCATCCAACACACACACACAGACACACACACACACACACACACACACAACACACACACACACACACACACACACAGACACACACACACACACACTCATCCAACACACACACACACCCAACACCCACACACACACTTTCAAGGGCATTAAACTATTTGTAGTGTGTGTGTGTGTGTGAACAGTAACTG